GCGATTTAGGTATGACAAAAGTGCTGCAATTAATTCATTTTGACAACTAATAGAATGTTAAACATGGACATATCTTTTTCAGAGTTCACTGATTATATAAAATTCAGTGAAGGTTGACTAGGCTATAGTTCAGGGGTGGTGAACTCCGGTCCTGGAGAGCCGCAGTCCTGCAGAGCTCAGCTCCAACCCTAATAAAAACTCACCTGCCTGTAGCTTCCTAGTAATCCTTCAGACCTTGATTAGCTTGTTCAGGTGTGTTTGATTAGGGTTGAAGCAAAACTCTGCAGGGCTGCGGCTCTCCAGGACCAACGTTCGCCACCCCTGGTCTAGACCATCCCAAAGGACAGGTACGAAACTTTAACAAGCTCTTCTTCTATCAGGGGTTTTAACTGTTCAGCAGCAGTTGTGGTACTCTTTAAGAAATCAAGAGTTTGAGTATATACTGTGATGTTAATGCCACATGTGTGATTTATCTACATGGCCTTGTCACAAAATCTGATTCATAAGAACTTTGCAGATTCATCAGGTCTGTGTTTCTCAAAAATGGTATTTCTATTCCAGAACTGATGGTCTGTGTTATTATAAAGGTATTGCCAATTACCCATTAAGCTGTGTGACTGTTAATGTAACCTTAACCTTAACAGACCAATGTCAATACTGACTAGGTTCAATTCTGTCATTCTAATTTGCATCATTTTAGTTCCTCATTTTGGATTCAAGGAGTAAATGTAAATGAGGAATTCTAGGGAAGCAATTGAAAAGCCTTAAGAATAGCATTGAACATGTCTTACTTTTCGTTCTGATGACTAATGGCCCACTACAAAAGTGAGTGGGTGAGTAATATGAATAAATTAACAGAACAAGTAGAAACTAAGACAGCTAGAGAGATGTATGTGTGTGTGTGTGTGTATTTTGCTCTCTGGATGTGAGGGAACTCAGGGCAAAGTAACAGTATAAGAGGTCCTCGTCATTTTTCTCCGCTGTCTGAACCTCAGTCCACTGGACCTGTGAAAGAGAACAAGTGACCTGTACCTGCAGAGCTGCTTCACATACTCATAAGCATACAAACAGTCTTACTCTCTCTCTCTCATTTACACACACACACACACACACACACACACACACACACACAATGCTTTTTTCCTCTTACCTTTGATAAGTTGTAGCTCTTTGCAGACAGTTGTCCTACATTCCATCCTAAAATATAGATTCTTGATTTATAACATCTACCAAAGCACTGCAGGTCTGTTTCAAATCTCCAGTTCACTGGGCTGCACTATCAGAGATGGGCAGTATTTTAATTAAATGTATTAAAGGTATACTGTAACTCCAGTATTGCTAAATGTAATAATGGCAGTGTCTCTTGCACTTCAAATGATTGCTTATAAATATTGTTTGTATTTTTGTATTTTCAAATTACAAATTACTTTCTTAAATACATTTGATTAGCAAGTATTTGTAATTTGTAACAAAATACTTTCTGATGTATTTGTGCCCATCTCTGTTCTTAAAGAATTCTGTGACATTAACAAAAACATTCTATCACTGTCATATTAATATAACAAACACACATGCTCCAAAAAACAGCAATCTGTCAGTAAAAATCAACAAAACAATTTAAGACATAACCACCAATGCATAGGAATCAATCGATAAACAGTTAACGAACACTTGAAATACTAAAACCACTGCTAATCTATGAAATTTATAATCAATATCCTACTGCTAACCGAAAGTGCTCTATTTCTACAGGGAGCTCGCACACATGCACACGGACTGCAGTTCTGTGACCCACTGTTACAACAGACACCCTGAATGCCGTTTGTTTTGTGCAGTGATTGCTGGGTTATAATTGTGCTCTAAAATAGTGCAGTGCCATTATGGAGGGAACTATTGGACTGCCCTAATTATGCTGCAACAGTCAGACAGGCTGGTTTTATTGCGGTGTCTCGCTAGTTTTGTCCTGACCACAGCTGATTTGCTTGTGAACCCACCGTTTATGGAATTAAGATTTCTCTCCTCAGGAGAACCTTATATTAGATAGTGTCAATGCTTCTTTCACTTTCCCTGTACTGGCAAAAATGCTTAGAATTCAGAAGATTTAGATATAACATGAAGTCAGCATGAAGCAGAAATTGCGATCATATTTTCTCCCCTACGCACCTGAAGGCATTTATTGGTTTTCCCTGGATGCGTGTTTTGACGCTACACTATTTCTTCTTTTTAATAATAATAAAATGCAATATTCCATAAAATAAAAATAAAAACTTATAACATTGACATCTCTGCTGGTGAAGCAGTATATGCATAATTAAAAGCAGTTACTGTTTCCCTCAAGACAAATGCACTTTTTTAGTAATTTGGAATAGCAAAGAAAATTGAGCTCACTGCAGGTCATGAGCAGAAAAACAAACAAAACTCGTAATTTAATTGTTTATTCCAACGTATTATTGCCCAGAATTCTGCACTAGTGCAAAAATACACAAACAGGATGCTAATTAAATTATGGTATCCCATATTTTGTCCTTATTAAAGAAAATTATAAGGGATATCCTTAGTGCAATCTTTTGTGCAAGGCCTTCATCCTAGATAGAATGAGAGAGAGATTTCTGTTGCTCTGTCATTCATCATGTGGCTTGTGTAATAGAAATTTCTATGCTATTGTGTGTATCCACTGCTGGAACTGCTCTGTCACAAATGCTTTCTGAAATGAGCTCAACAGCCGAATAAATGCTGTAACGTTCTCCATCTGCAGGATAATCATTATTAGCAATTGAGAACAATGTTATGAGGTTATACACTGTTATATATGTGGAAAACAAACATCAAAGCACATTTGTCATAGTTAAGACAAGAGAAAGGCTGTGTATTTAAGGGCCTCGTGTGTTTTTTTAATATTTTTTACATAAAAACACCTTAAGCCTTCAGGTAAATGAATTCATGAACTCAAAACACTTGTTAAGGAGGATATGGAAATATTAGGATTCCCGTCCACTCTTGTCACTTTCATCAGATGACAGATTCTGCTGCTGGTCGGAGTCGGAGTCAAACATGGGGCTGCGCTGTAAAGGATGTGGCAGACGGCACTGTCTGGAGGTGAAGGGTGGGGGCAGCGAGCAGGACAAATGATCCTCTACACGAGAGATCCTGGCAGGATTCTGGCCGGAAGTTCTGTGTAGGGCTGGAGCCACGTTGGCTGGACTCAGCGAACTGCTGCCTAACACCACCTCTCACAAGCGCTGGCTCTCTCTGGTCGCTGCCTCCCAAACCACCTCCAATTCACCTTCTACCTCTCTGAGAAACACAGAGAGAGAGAGAGAGAGAGAGAGAGAGAGAGAGAGGCTTGTTTTAGTGCAGTATGGGTAGGCTTTCCTGGTTCAAATATGAGCTCTCATATCATCATGCTTCTCTATAAAGAGCAAACACACAAACATTCAAAATACACATGAACATGCACAAATTTCTTCAGTCATTTTGTACCCTCCAGTCAATACCGGTGGATTCGCACACCAAGCGTTTTGAGGGCTCAGCTGTGCAATAATAACAGGTATTAACTGGAAATGTGCTAAGGCAAAAACTACACCCAAAAACAGAATGAAAGAGAACGACCAAGCGGTGGAGGGGTGTAAGCTGTCGTAATCATAGATCAATTAGCTGTACCACCTGTTGATGTACATCCTCGCTTCCACACACACGGTTTATGACAAGCTTTCTATCTCTCTTTATCGCTCACTGTGTGGAAAGTGGCGAGTCATCTCTGTAAGTGTATTTTTTTCCATACTATGGAAGTCAGTGGCTACCGTCAGCTGTTTAGTTACCAACATTCTTCAAAATATCTTCTTTTGTGCTCAACAGAAGAAAGAATTTGAGGGTGAGTAAAAAAAGTTTTTGCATCCCTTTAAGATGCGTTTTTAAGCTGCCATCTCCACTGCCTGCATCAATAAATGTCATCTCTGCCAGACTCAAGCAGTGTCAAACGGACAAAGTCAAACTCATCTCCTATGCTTCAGACACCAAGCACCTCAGAAACAGAAACCAACATGTCTATATTTATGTGTGCATATTTGTGATCTGAGACCATCAAATAAATGTTTTGTTGAAATTGCAAAATTTACTTGTGATACTTTTATTCATGTATTTTTATTAATTATAATTTACGAATGTGTTGGAAATGACACGTTTTTGGAATGTAGGCCATTGTTTTCCAATAAAAGCGCATTTATGACATTTTACAGCTTCATTAAATGTTTTCGTCTTTTTTAATAATAATAACAATAATAAAGGAAAACTGAAACATTTTAAGATTTAAAAGGTTTATTGTTTACCTTTGTATTCATTGAAGAATCAGAGTTTCCACAAAAATATTAAGCAGCACAAGTGCTTTTAACCTTGATAATAAGAAAAAAAATCCATATTTCAATCACAACAGTTTCAGACAGCAGATTTGTCCCAGTACTGAATATTATACATCATTTTGTCATTGATATGTTGCCTGAGGCTGTTCTTTTTACATCCTGACAAAGAGTCTGCTAAATATGGCTATGTGTATTTTATATACAAATATACACGTATATCTCATTTTCAAGCAGTCTTGAATGCCTAATGAGATTCTCACCTCGGGACTCTTTTATTTCTCCTTGTAGGTGCCCTTTTGCTCTCCCCTTCCTCCTCTCTATTCATCACATATTGTGCAGTCTCAGCAAAAGCCAAACAAGGCCTTATCTATGCACACAGATAGCCTGCCCCTGTCACCTTAGAGATTTATAACAGAGAGAGGGAAACAGAGAGAGAGTGAGCGAGAGATTGCTGTCAGTGGGTGGGTCAGCTGATCAATTGTGTCAGACAGTAGGACAGAGTGACGCAGAGAAGACAGAAGTGAGGGACAAATAAACCCACATACTGACAGATCAGAAGTGTAAGGTCACATGGATTTAGCAGACGTTTGTGCATTTCTCTGCTGAAAATGAAGCTGGGAGTACTACACTCTTATTGGTAGCTGAAAACGTCAAAGCATATGAAAAAATGTTAATATTAATGGTTGCATAGATTCTGATCAGTGCTTTTAAATAATCCAGACAGGAATAAATATTTGTAGAAACACTTGTTTTTAGGTTAATGGCTTTTTCTGTGCTAATATCGTCCTTTTAAAACACATGAAGGCAGAAAAGAATAATTATTCAGATAATGCTTCCTGCAGGCCCTTCTCTCACCATCTAATCGATTGCTAGTGTTTGCTTTCGCTCTCATTCTCATGACCCAGTTGCCAAAAGAGAGAGGGAAGAGGACGAGAGAGACGGGTGCGAGTGGGCGTGAAGGAAAGAAGTGACACGTCTGAGTGGTGAACGTCGAGATGAAAGATGAGAGAGACCAGTATTGACCCGGCTGGTTTTAGCATCAAAGTCTTCTACAAGAGATTAAAAAATAAATGAGAGAGAGATGGATATCGTCCTTTTAAAACACATGAAGGCAGAAAAGAATAATTATTCAGATAATGCTTCCTGCAGGCCCTTCTCTCACCATCTAATCGATTGCTAGTGTTTGCTTTCGCTCTCATTCTCATGACCCAGTTGCCAAAAGAGAGAGGGAAGAGGACGAGAGAGACGGGTGCGAGTGGGCGTGAAGGAAAGAAGTGACACGTCTGAGTGGTGAACGTCAGGAGATGAAAGATGAGAGAGACCAGTATTGACCCGGCTGGTTTTAGCATAAAAGTCTTCTACAAGAGATTAAAAAAGAAATGAGAGAGAGATGGGAGAGTACTTTGTGAATGCTGCACTGGGAAGTAGGTTTATGGGAGCAGTAGTAATCTGAGTAATGTTCAGGCCTGAGGTTGTGTCACTGTGTGTAAAAACCACTTTGAATGATGCCATACAAGTCACCTACGTCACATCAACCAAGCTGTAATTTACTGGTGAATGGCTAATGTCAGTCAGAGATAAAAAATGTTGACTTCATGGTTAGTTTCTTGTTACCTAGTGGTTAAAGACCTAGGTTGATAACCATATGCACCTACTCTATTGTTTTTTGAGAAGGCACCAGTACCTTAGGCGAGAGGAGATGAGACATGACCAACTAAGTTTTGTTAGATTACTGATAGCTTCTGTTAAACTTACTTGAATGAACTGGGTTTAAATAACCTAAAAAACTAAACAAGTGCTACTGAACTTGACAGCCAGTGATCAACAAGCATTTTTTGCTCTAATCTATAGAGCAGTTACCTCTCTCAGGCAAATGACACAACAATGTACAATAATAACATTGTAATAAACAACTTTTTATATTTTTTTTCGAACCCACTTTCTATTAGTTGACTAGCTACTATTTGAATAAATAAATCATTGTTAGGTACAATGTACTTATTGTATTCATGTTGTGTTACAAAATAATTTTACTATTATTAAGGTGCAACGATCCACTGAAGAGAACCCAAAGTGCAGTTTATTCAAATGCGAGAATGAGCAGATACACAATAAACAAAGACATGGCTTGACTTGACTAAACAATAACTTGAACATGAACACAACTCACCAACAGCGGGTTACACTAACAAAGCTAGACAATGGACAATGGCAAAATGAGGGCTATATAAATCAAACAAAGTGGGGAGGACTAAATGAATCACTATAACAACTAACAAGGGTAACTATGGGAACTAACAAGCCAGGCAAAGGAACAAGAACTAAACACAAGAAGTGAACACAGAAACAAAGGGAACAGAAAATACACTTCAACATAAAAGTCCTTGACACAAAACAGGGTAGCACAAGACATGAAAACATGAACATAAATTAAAACCACGTGACATAAGGTGGGATGCAGGTAAAGTTAGTGACAGGTTTAATGGTATGGGTAGGTTCAAGATTAGAGGTAGGTGTCAACATGTAATGTATAGATGTAACAACAGAAATTTATTATAGATGTAATTACATGCATGTATTTTTTAATATAAGTACAACTTAGAAATAAGTGCATTGTATAACATTTTTCCTAGTTAAAGACGCTTAATATAAAGTGGGTCCAATTTTTCTTTCTCAACACATTCTATCAATTCTATTTGAGGTGTCCCTTAATTTGTTTTCCCCCATGTTCCCATTATATGACTTGTTGCAGACTGTATGGCAGAGAGCACAAAGAGTACCTATTATAATCATAGTTTTATTTTCACATCTTAAATGAATAATTATTAATATTAGTATTCGAATACAGTTGATTAATGTTTTATTAATGTTTAACTATTAATGTTAAATTATTAACTCCTGTGTGTCTAAAACATCTGTGACTGTATCACAGCACTGAACTCACAGTGATTTCAGAAAAACTGATATCTATGGATATGGAAATATTACAGCACAATTAAGAGTTAATCTATTAAAATCACATGGGCTTGCTAATACAATCGCACACACAGAAAACCAGTCTCGCATACACAGACACATATACACACACAGTACGAGACTCGAACCCGCAACCTTGGGTTACGAGTCCGACTCTCTAACCATTAGGCCACGACTAAACTTTTGCTCTCTTACACAACACTGCAAACTACCCCACAGTTTGAGTGAAATCCTCAAGAAATAAAGGGATAGTTCACCTGAAAATAAAAATTCTGTCATCATTTACCCATCCCCAGTGTCCTTCCACACCTCTATGATTTCCTTTCTTCTGCAGAACACAAAAGATATTTTTCAAAATGTCTTACAATAAAATGACACAAACAGTTGAATCTGTCTTCAAAATTTACTGCAATTCAAACATTTAGGGTCAATAAGATTTTGTTTAAAAAAAATAATACTTTAAATCAATTTAATACATTAAATTGATCAAAGGTCTCTGTAAAACTGATATTTCCATATATATATATATATATATATATTTCTACTTTTAATAGATGCTGTTTGTTTACTATTTCTAATCCTGAAAAATAAATAATGGTTTCCATAAAAATATTAAGCAGTACAACTGTTTTCAATATTGATAATATTAAGATGACATATCATGAGAGTAGATACATTCTGGGGACACCTGAGACTTATATTACATATTGTAAAAAGGGGCATAATATGTCTCCTTTATGAAATGTTTCTTGAGCGCCAAATCAGCATATTAGAATGATTTCTGTAGGATCATGTGACACTGAAGACTGGAGTAATGGCTGCTAAAAATCAGCTTTGCCATCACAGGAATAAATGGCATTTTAAAATATATTACGGTAAATATATTAATATTAATATATTACAATAAAACTGTATTTTAAATTGTAATAATATTTTACAATATTATGTTTTTATTGTATTTTTGATCAAATAAATGCAGCTGCAGTAAAAAATTACAGATCCCAAAATTTTGAAAGGTTGTTTATATTCTTTTGTGTTTCTCAGAAGAAAGTCACATAGTTTTGCAACAACATGGGGGTGAGTAAATGATTTTTAGTTGTTGTTTTTTTTTGTTTGTTTTGTCTTTTTTTGTTTTGTTTGTTCCTTACACCTTTGAACATCACAGTGTTAAAATAAATGTTCAGTCATTCAACACACATGGTTATTACAAACACAGCACTAGACGAGATAAAATATTTCACCACAAAGACTCATACACACACACTCACATGAAGACATAGAGGAAAACAGAGAAACAGTGAGTGACAGCAACATCATTTGATGCAATGATGGCCATACTCCACCATCATAAACAAGATAATTTGGTGAATCAGTTTTTCAGTCAAATGATGCCACATCTCTTCCTGAACAATAGTAATAGCTCCATTCATTGAGTTTGGTGTCAAAATGAAATGTCATAAACATTAAAAAAAAAGTGGTTGAAGCATATGGGTGAACAGCTGCATAGTAAGAGAATGAATAGTGAATATCAACATTGTCATTTCCTTTTCATATTCTTCACAAGTAATCTCAAACATACATACAGTGGGTATAGAAAAGAACCCCCCCCCTTATAACATAAATAAATGTTATAAGTTGCACTGAGTAAATACAGCTGGATAAAACAAAAACTGTGTCCATCTTCATTTCAAGCTGCAAAGCAACAAAATTTGATTATTTTAACGGGGGTGATTCTTTTCTATACCCACTGTAAAAACAAACTCTTCTGAAGGAGAAGCATTTTACTGATGTATCAAAGCTGACATTTAAAAACCTCACTTACACTTAGGCTTGGTTAGGGAACTGACTTTAAAATGAGCTTTGATGTAGTGTTGATAGAGCGAACGAGAGAGAGAGACTGTAAGTGTTTACTGGGTGAGCGAGTGTACTGCAAGAAGTGGAGCTGAGTTGGACATGGCTCAAATTCTGAACAAGAATAGTGTGTGTCATAGTTTGTGAGAATGAAACGAGCAGTTCAGACAGCAGACCAGATCTGATCTCCTGCCTTGACTGTCTGACTTAACTCTGTCCTGTGAATGATCACAAATGATCACTATTGATATGTGAGTGCTGTATGCACTTGTGTGTTGCACATACAGTATTAATATACAATATATTATTTATTATTAGCGTTTTACACACACACATATATATATATATATATAACTTCTGGGACATGTATGACTTATAACACAATAATAGCTCTACTCTGCCATAATGCTATAACAACCTTGAAAAGGCTGCTCTGTGAGTTGTAACATAATATCTGTTAGCTCTTGTTGGCCTTGAAGAAGCGGTTAAAATTGTAAAAAGTGAAAAGGACATTTTTCAAGACAGGGTAAGGAAATGTAAAACCCATCTTTCCTTTTAACTAGTTTTTCCTCTTCTGCTCCAAGGCTGCCCATGGCATCTGCACTCAAATACAGAAACATTTTTGTGCTATTTAGAAAGCAAAAGTAAAGGTCTCTGCTCTTCCAAATAGATAATCACAATAAACCCAATTTTGCAGTTTTAACTAAACATTTGAGCAACATTATTTGATTTAAAAAAATGAATAAATAATCATTCTAATAATAAGAATAATAATAAGTTAATTCTTCGAATTTTTTTAACTAACAATGAACAACAGCATTTATTAAAGGGGTCATATTAGGGCTGCACGATAAATCGAAATGGAATCGAAATCGCGATTCGACAGAAGCTGCGATTGTCATGCGTAGTTCTTCCCGAGTCACATTAAAGATTCGTTCAAAATGAACGAATCGTTCAAGAACGACCCAACACTAATGCCTATAGCGGTAGCTGGATAAACAGAAGATTTAACTGCCTTTATTGATTCAATGTGACTAATAAACACACGATTATGTCAATATATGGTTTATCAGCGTTATTATTATTATAATATTAATTAAAATAAAGTATATTTATAATGCATAGCCTTTATCACTGCTTAGAATACTATGAAATATGTTGCGTGTCTTATTCGGTGTAAGAAGCCACATCATCTCACAGAAGGATTTATTTCAAACACTCGACTGACGTTATGAAGTGAGTTTG